TGAAGAAGTATTATTATCATTATTATTAAGGAAATCAGATAAAATTAGAAATTTCTTAAAGTTTATAGATGACTGGTTTTAGTTTGTAAGACTTCCCTTGATGGATTTTCTTTAAACCTTCCTGGATCTCTTAATGGAATTCTGAGTGATACATTAATAGCAATTGAAGAATTATTATTATCATTATTATTAAGACAAAGTCTCGCTCTGTTGCCCACGCTACAGTGCTGTGGCATCAGCCTAGTTCACAGCAACCTCCAACTCCTAGGCTCAAACAATCCTCTTGCCTCATCCTCCCGAGTAGCTGGGACTACAGGCATGTTCCACCACTCCCAGATAATGTTTTCTATTTTTAGTTGCCTGGCTAATTTTTTTCCCCCTATTTTTTTAGTAGAGATGGAATCTCACTCTTGCTCAGCCTGGTCTGGAACTCCTGACCTCAAGTGGATCCTCCCGCCTCTGCCTCCCAGAGTGCTAGGATTATAGGCATGAGCCACCATGCCAGGCCTATTCACTGTTCTGTCTAGCAGAAGGTCTGACATTTAGGGAATTCTTAAATATCTGGTGAATGAACCAGAGAACAGATATTTTGTGGCCCAGAAAGCCCTTTCGCTGCCCAGTGCATCATTATCTGAATTTCTGTATAAAAATGTCTGTTCACAAACTCCATTGTTAATACATTACCTACTCACCCTACCCAGCTACCAGGAACACAGTGAAATTTCGAAGTACACCCCATTTGTTTTCCACACTCTCCCAGTTTCTGCACTAACATCTCCAAACATAGTGTGTCACAGTAACCCTCAGTTGCCTAGATAGGCATTAATTCTTTGAGGGCCTGTTTTCTGCTGGCTGATATCATGCATAAAATAATCTTTAATATGCTCTGAGTCTATGACTAATAGATTATTGCTTTAAATTAAGGAAAGAAAAGGGTCACACAGCTGGTGTGTGTGACCAAATCTGTGTCGTTTCATCCACTTAACAATGTTTACTCTGCAATAACAAAACCTCACTGCATTTTATGTTCCAATGCTGGGATTATCCAATTAACATTCATCTACAGAGCGAGTTTGTAGAAGAATTCTACCTTACTCATCTCTGTACTCTGGCCCTTCACATCCTTCCTATGTAATAGATCTTCAGTAAAGACTCAGAGCAAATACTCAGAATGAATATGTTGACAACAAAACATGAGTGAGCGCAAATGGAAGTCACTGTCTAAACCACAGAGATTTGTGAGTTTATTCACCATTTTAACCACCACTAAATCCTAAATCCCAGTTGCTAGATTTGGAGGGAGATAACATGACTAATTCTAGCACTGTGCTCTGCAATACAATAGCCATTAGCCACATGTGATTTTTTTACAATTTAAATTAAATAATTAAATTAAAACTTCAGTTTCTCAGTCTCCCTTACCACATTTCAGGTGGCTGGTGGCTACTTTATTGAACAGTGCATATATAGAATGTGTCTGTCATCACAGAAAGTTGTATTGTACTGGACTAGGTACTTCCTGTCCCTCTGGGCTAATGAGTTCAAGAGCACATAACCAGCTTCTTCCAGGTGGCATCTGAGGATAAGTTTGCCAGATAAAATACAGGCTACCCAGTTATATTTGAATTTCAGATAAACAACAAATAATTGTTTCAGTAGAAATATGTCACCTAAATATTGTATGAGACATACTATACTAAAAAAAATTGTTTATCTGAAATTCAAATTTAACTGGAAAATCTGTATTTTTATTTTTCAAATCTGGAAATTCTATCCGAACAGCAAAATCAGAGCATCTTCCCTGGGAGGCTGGCTCCTTTTACCACAGGGAATTATTCCATGAGGAATTAAGAAGGGCTGATACCTGGAGAAAAGCTAACTTTTGAGTAGAGGGATGTGTAAGTTTTTCTGTATATGTGAGGAAGGCTAAGAAGGAGATTCCCAAATATATTTACTTTTTCTTCTCTCTCTTAGGTTTCAAAAGCTTCTCATTACAGAGAGATGCTAGGATCCTGAGTGTCTGCCAAACCCATCAATTCTCAGAAATAAATGGATGGACGGGGTAAATGTTCCTATGTCGCCGATTGACTCTGCACCTGCAAATGTTTTTATAGTAAAAACTTGCTCTAGGTTTATTTCTTTTTGTTTGTGTGTGTGTGGGAATATGGAGGGTGGAGGAGAGAGAAAGAATACCATCAAGGGAAAGCTCTCTTTAGTACAAAATGTGTTTAATTTTTTGAATAAGTATTACATTCACAGAGTTCAAACAACTTAAAATACAATAACAAGATGTGTATTGAGAATCCACCCCTCAAATTCCCACAGTTAATCACTTTTTTTCCTTGTGTATCTGCCCAGTGTGAATTCATGCTGATGTCAGTCAATAATGAATATGTTTTATCTCCACCCTTTTCCTTCTTACAAGGTAGCAGACTGTATACAGTTGCTCTGTTCATAACAATATATCTTGGAGAACTTTCCATATGAGAACACATGGAGCTTCCCATACACAGTTGCATGGTATTGCTCTATAGGGATGCTTTGTAGTTTATGTAACCTGTGTCCTGTTGGTAGGCACTCGAGTTGTTTCTAGTCTTTTGCTTTAAAACATTTCTGGAATGATTAACTCTGATTTACAGCAAAATTGAAATTACTCTCCTATTCTGCTGGGATGGTGGACAGTAAACTGAAATTCCAGTCACTCTTGGGTTGGACTCAAGGTTCTTCCCCTTAAAAACTATGTGACTGTCACCAGGTCATTTTGAACCTCAATTTCTTTGTCTGTAAAATGGAGGTGATACCTATCTTAGGTGACTATGAGAATGAAAAAGATCACGTGTATGGATTGTTTGGAGCTCAAAAAATCAGGAGAAATAAAATTATTTCATTTTCAACACCTTTTGTGTATGCGTGTGAGAGTTATGTGTGATACATTGTGATAGGAGCAGAATCCCTGAATTCCAGACTGGTGTGAGGAAATAAAAGGTGATATAAAGGGGGAGGAAGGCAGTGCCATTAATTATTTGCCTAGGACACCTTCCCAATTAAATTGCCATTTCCTTCCCTCCCTGCATAGGAATTAGAAAACACATGCTCCTAACCTGCTTGCCCCCTCATGCCTAATTTCTTACCTTCACTCCAGATCAGGTTTTAAGTAAGAATGTCTCTGCTACTCCAGTAAGTAGGTTAGGAGCCAGCCTGTTTGGTCTGCTCTATATTCCCAACTCCCAGGACAGTGCCCAATGTTGTCTGGCATATAGTAGTTACTCAAGAAATAGCTAATGAATTCATGAGGCCTACTCTGGGTAGAGATTTCAATTCTGCCCGTGAATTTTCAGAAGCCAGTGTTAGAGTCACCCAATCTCACAGGCTTAGTAGGAAGAAGGGGTTAAGAGGTTGTTAACTTATTCTTAACAAATAACTACACAATAAAGCTATAAAAAATGATTCCGTGTGTGGGTGAACACACATACATAGACATGCAGTCAGGTGTTCTGGAAAGACAGGAATCTGGAGCTAAAATAGTTGAGCTTGTGTTCTAGCTCTGCCACTTAGTGTCTCACTGGGGTTTAGTCACCTGCCATCTCGGAAGATCAGGCTTGTCATCTATAGAATGAAATAATAGTGCTCCCCAGAGTTGTGAAAAACTATCAAATAAAATGGCACTTGAGAAAGCACTTTGTTCCTTGTAAAATCTGATATGATCATGTGCAGGATTATATAAAGACTATCTCTCTAACTATCTCCAAATGTGGAAAAATTAAAGCTGGAAAAGATGTTGGGATTTCCCTCAGGGATTTGCTGGCTTCCACTTGCAGACATTAAAGTAATTGGGGTGGTTAAGTCAAAGCACTAACTGCTTCTGGCTGCAATATACTCCGGAATAAAGCCTGGTAGGTGTGCCATGTTGGAATGGTGGTGGAGTATACCCACACAACTCCCACAAGCTCAACCCAGGGTTCAGGAGCAGCAGTCCTGGTGGTGTTTCAAACGCAGCTGATCCACCTTTCCCAGAGCAGAGGCAGGGATGCTCCACAGTCTTCCCATTGTGCTTTTGGTTCAACTTGACTCCCTGCCTTCAGGGAAGATATGGAGAATTCATCCCTACTAGGTACCTTAGCAACCTTGGCAGAGGAAAGAAAAATGAGAAAGGCCCTTAAGGAGAAGGGCCCTAGGTACATTGTCTCTGTGGGAGGAAAGGATAAATGCAGGGCAGAGCACAGAAGGAAACCTTTATTTCTTTAACACAGTCCCTGCAGATTGAGGATGAAGACACTGGGGGTCTGAACTACTTGGTATTGTGCATGGTCACAAAAACAGGTCAATGGTTTGTCCAAATCCACACACTGAATTATATTTATGTCCTTGGTATAGTCATTTTCTCAGGTCTCCAATTGAAAATTTATGTGTCATTTTGAATTCTTCCTTCCTTCTTTTCTACCATTTGTTCAATGTAACATTGGTAGCCTGAAATTGGCCATAATGGCAGTATTTAGCAAATGCTAAATGCTAAATGCTAAATGGGAATTAGCAAATGCTACAAATTAGGGGTTTTTGTTTTGTTTCTTGAAAGCCTCTTGCTCAACATTTGCCAGCATACCACCATTGCTTTAAATATCCTCTGCTCCTTCCTGGTGATGATGGTCTCATCTCACATCTCTCTCTCTCCCTCTCTCTCTCTCTCCCCCACCTCCCCATGCACATTGGCTCACTCTATTGTGCTGTTTTCCTACCTAGAAAGGTACTGTCTCATTTCCCAAATGACCCCTATGCATCTGGCATGATTCAAGTTCCACAGTCTCTCCTAGCATCAGTACCCAGTGCATACATGTCTGTATTGTTTCTTACCTCCTCTATGTCTGCTTTCCAAATTTTATGAGGAATCCTGGAACACTCTTCTCATAGATACTCACCTGCCTCAATACCTTATTTCTGTCAGTCTTCCTCAAATTTCACCTTCAGTGAAATGTCAGTGAGGCCCTCCCTGACATTCTTTTCCTGCCACAGACGGAGAGATGCCTTCTAAAAGAATGGCCATGGTCTGCCCAGTGGTGATACTGGGAGTGTGGACTGCCAGCAACAGCATGGCAGGAATGCCATAAGCAAAGGCACTGTGAAGACACAAGCAGAGCTGTTTAACTGATGACCCCAGGGACTTTCTCTGGGTTGCCTGGCAATGAAATGGGAACAAGGGCTGCTGCTTCCCCTGTGGGAGGATCAGCCAATGTTCCCAGATGCTGGGAGGCTGGCTTTCCTAGCTGACATTCACACAGAAAATGTTTGTTCTCCCTTTGCAAGTCTGCTCTCATGCTTTCTCTATGAAAAGGGAACAGCATGGGCTATATGTGAGTTCCCTTCAGGAGAACAGCCCCCTGTGTGTTAGGCTACCTGCTTCCCAGGCTCACAGATCTGCAGGCTGCATGAGAATGAGCACTGCATCTGCTAACCTGTGCCTACAAGTTCCAGCTGGCACAAGCGACTATGCCTGCTGAAAGACAGACAGAAGGCAAGAGTGGGTAGACCTGTTAGGAGTTAAATTACCTCTAGAGGTGGTAGTCAGTGGAAATGAGTGGATACAAACTTTGATTATGGGGCCAGGATCTAACTTTTTAATCATTATTCTAATCATTTAGTATTTCATCTTCTCAAATGCTCTTAACAAAGACAAAAACCAACAGTTCTCTCTATAATTTTCCATTTATCCTCTTGCATGCCCCCCTTTCTATTGTCCATTCTTTTCCTATTCTCTCTCTCTTTCCCCTCCATTTAGCATGAACTATTTTTAAAGGAGCATTTTGAAAAAGCATCTTTCCTGTTTTCACACCAGATGGTCAGCACTGAAATAGTGGAGGCCCTACCTCTGCACTCTGTGGATGCCCCAGTGGGACTCAGTCATGCAGGACCTGAGAGCTCAGCTGCTGGTTTCTGGTGCCTCACATTTGCGTTGTGGAGTGGCACATGTGGACTGGTCCTCTGGCTACGTGTTTAGGAACCAGACTACTTGGAACTAACTTTTGGCTCAGAAGCTGTACCTCAGAATCAGATATTCCTTGTTGCCCAAATTTACTGCTCTGCTAGCCAAATGAGATTAGGATTGTAATGAATATACTTTCTACCTCATTTCATGAATTAGCTTAGGATGTTCACTATGTGCCAAGCATTAACTCATGTTATTTAGCCCTCCTAATATGTTTATGAAGTATGTACTATTATTCCATTTTTTAGGTGAGGAGATTGAGGCACAGAAAAATGAAGTACCTTGCCCCTGTCACATACCTAATAAGATGGCAGGGGGTTGGGGGAGAAGTGGTGCAGGTAGGATTAAAACACAGGGGGCCAGGTTTATAGTGTTATTGAGGAGGTCCTTGGAAAGGCCTTGGAAAGTGCCAAGCACAAAGGGAATTAATTCTCAAGAAACGCTAGTTGATGTTTGCTACTTGTTACTGTTGTTACCATGATAGTTATTATTTTATTACACAATGATATCAGTGGTCTATTAGCCCAAGAAACTAATATTGGGGCCAAGGAAAAAGTTCCCCTTTGCCCTCTGAAGTTTCACTGAAAAATCAACTCACAAAAGACAGTTTAATTAGAGAAAAGGCATATATATTTATTTAACATGGACACAGGAGTTTTCAGAATGAAGACCCAAAGATACAGGGAAAATTTTCCATTTTTTATGCTTAAGTTCAACAAAGTATGGACAGCCATGTAGAATTATTAGACAAAAAGGGTATGATCTAATGCTGTTAATAATAGACTGAGTGGGGAAACCCAGCAAAGCCTGTCTGTTCAGATTCTTCTTGGCCTCTCTGAGTGTGCATTACTTCCTTCTGGGCATGGATCAGGTTCCTTTCTGGAGTGGGGGTCTTATGAACTACAGTCAAACAATGTAGTTCAGATAATTTCTTTATGGCGGTTTTTTATACAGAAAGGTGTGTGCAGGGGTGGGAGTTAGGTTTTATGGCTGACTTTGGGGAAAAGTGGTTCTCGTTTCTATGACTCACCTTGGGGAAGAAGGATTCCAGTCTATCATTAAGGGGACGAAGAGACAGAGAGACAAGAATCAGGAGAAGGTAAGAGAAAAAAAAATGCTTCTGAGGCCTTCATTTTGCAGTATTGTCTTCTGAGTCCCAACACTAAGAATTGCCTGCCTCTTCAGAGGTTTTGTTTTATTTGGTTTCATTTGATTACTTATTACTCCAATTTCATATTGTACCATGTACTTTAGTCCTCAACAAACAAACACCTGAAATGAGGCCCTAATCCTTTTTTATTTTTCTTAGTTATGATGATCTGGGAGAGAAATAAATGAGAATTGGATTTTAATAAAATGAGAAGACATTTGATTTTAAACAATTTGTTCTTTTTATTTGTATACTACCCAACCAGATAACAGCAACATTAAAGCCTGGTGATTTTGATTTTGGGGACAGTGTGAGACAAAAGAAGTAAAAGCACAGGTTTGACCATCCATCAGGTGCCTACTTTGCATCACAATGTGACCTAGAATCAATTATTTTCCCTTCTCATTTTTGGTTTCCTTGTCTGGAAAATGGAGCTAGTCATAATGACCCACCTCAGAGGATGGGTGTGAAGATTAAATGGGGATAATGTACTTGGCACATAACAGACACTGAAAGCCATTCCCTCACTATGGTTCACTTTCCCCTTACGGTTGTTTGGTTCATCTCTGGGTGTATTAGTTATCTTATAGTGTATCACAAATTTTCCCCAAACTTAGCGGCTTCAGAGTCTGGGCTCAGTCAACCTAAATCCTCTGGATCTCTCACAAGGCTGCAGCCAAGATGATGGCCAGACTGCAGTCATCTTAAAACTGAATGTAGAATTGATCCACTTCTAAGCCTACGTA